ACACTGGCCCATTATTTAACTAGAAGTCTCTGATTTCTTTCATCTTTCATTTCTTTCACACAGCCTATTGAGGGTTTTTTCAAGTACATGGGATATCTGGCTTTTAAATGCTACTTTACAGAGTAATGCTCAAAGATTACTGAAATAGCTCAGAAAGCAAGAAAATGGAACAATCACTGCTTAACTCTTTAAAAACAGATCAAAGGCTAAGAAGGGGAGAATATCTGATTTACTGTACACAAGTGCAAGAAATCTATGTCTAAAGACAAGGTAACATTTTCTGCTCTCTCCCCAACATCTGAATAATGTAATGCCCAATCTTGCCTGAAAAGCCAAGAGTACTGCTATCTTACACTCCGTTTAATAGGGATCATTTTTAAGAATTGAAAACTGACTGCCTGATTTGGGGATACTGGTCTACCTGATTCTGGGTTCGGGGCATTATTCCATAAATAAACCTGGAGAGGCAGTTAAACTGGGCTTGTAAATGGCAATGGAGCCCTCTTAACATTCTTGTCACTCGAAAATGATCTTCGCTAAAGCAGAATCATGAGTTGTGGGAAGGGGGTGGCTGGAAAGGGTATTTCAAAACTCCTTTTTACCTCTGCCCCTAGAACCGGAATGCAACGTGTTTAGCAATGTTCCATTTTTAAACCACAATGAAAAATTGGAAGTAGTGGAAAACCTAAATAAAGCCAGAAAATGGTATACGTGCTGAGCAGGCTGATCATCACCGCAAAGGGAAAGACAGGCTTACTTCTAGCGTCACGCTTACTATACCTTTGATGAATGTACGCAACGGAACATTAACTTATCTTTCATTTTAAGACTTTGAATCATTGGCCCTGCATTTCTAGCATTTTCTTGTTTGGGAACCAAGATTAGATACCCTTATTGCTCAGAGTTAGCAATGATTTGGTTTTGTTTTTACACAGTGACAGTGATATGTTCTTCAATCTGATGAAGTATGGCTCAGTATAGCTCTCTCCATAGCCAAGAAAGCATCAGTCAGCACATGCCTCATCTATCATACCATACATCAATTCTGTTACATGCCATGTTACATCAGTCATGTGCTTCACAGAGATGACATTGGTAAATTAGATACAGTTCTTAGATGGCTTTTAACGTGTAGACTGAATGGCTATTGCACTTCGAATTGTATCCGCCAAAGATGTTTGGAACCTTAAACAACTGTCATAGAAAGATGCCATAATCTCCTTTCCCTGAGAAAGATTCAATCCAGAACAGGAATTGGCAATGATGGATTGCCATAGCTATCCAACTGTGACATTTCATTTTTGTAATGCAACATCTTAAACAAGATTTTTGTAGGTAGCTACAGATTTAGCTACAGCTACAAGTTTTGTAGTTTCATGCATAAAAATCATACATCTTTCTTGCTATTTCTCCTCAATGATGTTAGGGGGCCAATTTAGGGACTGGTGGTACTTTCTTATAAATTTTTCAAACTTTAGCATGTTCAATACCTTTGCACTACAGAAACTGAATGCGTAATTGACTGATGCGTTTTGCCCAAGGATATGCAGTCAATTCACTTTACAGTATATTCTGTGAAGCACTTTGAGACGTCTAGAAAATGTGAAAAACTCTATATCAAATGAAAGAATTATTATTATTATAAATAAACAATGTGCACTGGATGAATGCACATGTTATGGATGTTTTTTCTCTGTTAAAATACACAATTAAGAGGAAGATTTTTTGACTAGGGAATATCATCAGCTGGGATTTCAAAACTGGGATCATTAAAGTGACAAATCTCTGATAGCAAGTAAACATATGAAACTTAGCAACAACAACAACAAAATTATATTTGTATAGCGCCTTTCACATCGGGAGGACATCCCAAGGCACTGGACAGTCAATGTTTCTGACCCGAGCTGGGTTCGGGGTTGGAGAGGGTGAAGGGAAGGGGGTTAAGGAGGGTGATCGAAGGCATGGTCAAACTGGAAAACAATTAAAAATTGTGGACAATTTAAAATGTTAGCAGGTAAAATGTTATCAACAGCTGGTTGATACCCTATCATTTGAAGCAATTTATTACACACCAGCTTTGATTACTCAGATGTAATTGTAAAATAAAATTTATGTTGAGCAATGATGAGACATCTGAGATATCTGAGAGGGGACCTTATAGAGATATATAAAATTTGAAATGGGAAAGAGCAAGTAATAATAAATAATAATAATCCTTGCATTTGACGTAGCGCCTTATCATACCTTCAAGACATCTCAAAGCTCTTCACAGAAAATACTGTAAAGTGAATTTGATTGTATATTTTTTGGGCGAAACGCCGCAGCCAATTGCGCACAGCAGTGACCCATAAACAATCGTGGATTGAGTGACCATTTTTTTTAATGAATTATTACCCCCGGAAAAATGATCTGCCAATCGACTAACAACCGGGCTCCTACTTAATCCCAGAACAATACTTTCAGAAGCACCAAAACAGTGGAATAAGTAAACACAGATTTAGAGGCGCCAAGGCCAGTTTTGGGGCAGACACCAGGAACTACTTATTTTCCCAGAGGGTAATCTGTGATTGGAACAGCTTGTCAAGAAGGGAAGTTGAGGCCAAGACCCAGGATCATTTAAAATAAAGCTTTATCACAAGATCACAAGGTTGGTTTGGATGAAGAAGGCCCTTCTGATCTCATCCCTGCAGAGTACCCACCTTCCCATCCTCCCATTACAGCATCAAGCTGCTTTTTAAATGAATCCCACTATCTGGCTTCAACAACCCATCCCAGCAACCTGATCCATTTAGTAATTATCCTCTGAGTAAAGAAATCTTCGATGCTGTGATGGGAAGATGGCAGGGTGGGTATTGTGGAAGGATGAGATCAAAAAGGATGAAGGTCCTTCTTCATCCGAATAAATCTTGTGGATATGAAAGAATTAGAGGGAAAATTGATAGAATTTTAAATCTCTTAATAGTCTGGCTGCCAAAAAGTCCCGTTTACCTGCCATGCAATTTAATGACTTGCCTGATCCGCAAATATAACAAAGACTCTTGAAATTCGCTTCTCATCAGCTTCTGTGTTTTGATTTCAGTTTATAGCAGGAGATTCAAACTGCTTGAAATAATCAAACTGATTGATTATTACACTTTGGGTGATCACGTATTGTATTGAAAATAACCATATACAGGCCTCCCTTGCCCGACTTCCTAGCGGGTAAAGTCAAACCCTGATGCAGCTCCAGGCCACCAGATAATAATATTAATCCTTGCATTTGATATAGTGCTTTATCACATCATTGAATCATCTCAAAGGGCTTCACTGTACAGTGAATTGACTGTATATTTTGTGGGTGAAATGCGGAAGCCAATTGCACACAGCAGCGTTCCAAACAAGTGTGGATTGAATGGCAAAACATTTTTTTTGTTTGGGACGGATTATTACCCCAGGAAAGCGATCCGCTAATCGATTAACAACCGAGTTCCTACTTGCGGCTAGGTAAACAGAGGCTTGTGGAGTAAGGAAACTTGCCTAAGGTTCAATGGGAAAATCAGAGATCTGAATCCTTGTTGATAATGAATTAGCTGATCTCAGCTGGGTCAGCAGTTGGGGCACTGCAATGGATGTCAGCCTCCTAGATTACGGAGGGAAAATTAATCAGTTGTCCTGCTGCTTATCCCTATCCATCAGTGGCCGACCTTTCAGCCATTCTGTCTCGGTTGTTTGGAATTCAATCCAGGAGTCCTTCCGCTTTGTCCCCTCCCACCCCATTTTAATGCCCACTTTAAGACCTACCTCTTAGACCACGCTTTTGGTCATCTTTTCCTCCACCCCGCCACCCCCCCATCCTGGGTGGCCAGCCAGCTATATAAAATGTTTTGAGATGTCCTCCTGACGTGAAAAGCACTAAATAAATGTTAATTAGCTTGTCAAGTGGGCTGCAAAGGTTATTATTATTTGTGTGCAGACATTGGATGAAGAAATTGGTTGTGTTGTCCACATGTGGTTGAATAGCTTGCCAATAATTACTGTTAAGGCAAATGCATGAATAAGAGCCAATTCAGTGAGATACTGGAGGGTGTTCACTGGAACCTAATGCCCTGGAGAAGGAAAATCCTTGAGGAAGAGAGAACAAAATCAGAGGAGATAAAGAATCTTATTAAGTAAATGAAAAACTGTGCACAGGTAACCAATATATTCTGTTCAGGACTGAGCATTGATAAATAAATACAAAAATAACTAGGAAATCTAATAGGGAATTTAAGAGGAATATCTTCATGCAGAAGGTGATGAGAATGTAAAACTCACTGCCAGACACTGTGGCTGTACCATCAAGAGGAAACAATGCATATATTAAACTATATCTGCTGCAGTTTCACCCATGTATACAGACTCTCCAGATCCCTCTTTGTTAATGCACATTGATTCTTATCATTAATAGTGGTCCTGGTAACAACCCCTACAGCACACCACTAACAATTGAATGTTAGTCTTAACAATGTTTTATGCTTTATTGTAGTTTTAGAGATTCCATTTGATCTTATCCTTTATAAATTTCTATCTGGCTTTTGACACTGCATGACACTTGAATGGCAAAGGAAACTAACATTGAACAAGGCAACCTTTATAAAATGTTCATTAAAGCTCTTGCACTAATAAAAATTATGTTACTGTTCAATTTCTGAGTGCAGGCAGTGGAGCTCAGATAACTGTCTGACCTTTCAATGCAGTGCAATTTAAGAATATCCCTGGCACTGAGTCACAGTAACCTGATTACACAGTTAACGAATGTAATAAAAGAGCAATGGGTGTAACATGTTAGAGGTAAAGCAGTACAGGAAAATAATTGGTTTCTTTGAAAATGGGCAAGTGCCGTTGGAAAATATAATTATCAGTAACACATGTTAATAAAGGAAGATACAGTAAAAATATCAGGAGTGTATCTATAAAATCACACAATATTATACAGTAATGAGTTTGATAACTTTAAGATATGGAAGACTTATTATTTTTACCTGCTGTCGCTTTTCAAACTCCAGTTTGATGCGGGATTTAATGCAGTTACATGTGTCCTGATAGGTCTGCTGTAGAGCCAGCTCCATCAAATGCTTGTGATAAGCTCCTGCCAGATTGCCGCAGATGAAAATTATGACATTTGCCAAGATCTAGATAAAACCAAATCAATAAAAGGCTTTTACAGTACTGACACCAGTTTTGAAAACAATTTTTTCTTAATCCATTGCTTTTTATTCCCAAATTACTGAACTGGGAGCATTCAAAATAAAACCCATTACTCCTTCTCAAGTATGAAAGAACCTATTCAGCGTTAAAAGCAAATCCTGCATTAACCTTTTGGAAAGCAGGATTTCTATATATTTCTAGGATAAGCAGAATGTTAGTGACTGATAGAAAGGTTCATTTTGTTATAATAATAATCTTCACAATAATAATCAGAAGGATGTCCAAGGATATACTATAGAGCATAGTGACTGTGTGGGAGTGAGACAGTTTCAAAGTTTTAAGTGTTCTGAGGCTCTACCCTGTGTGGAGGGCGCTATATAAGTGCAAGTTGTTGTTGTGTATGTTTTGTGGGCGAACTTGGCATCCAATTTAAGCACAGCAATGTTCCACAAGCAAGCCATGAAGGTGAATGACCTTTATGGATGTTTGTGCTTAATACTCCCTGGAGTTAGGTAAGAAACATACATTCCTGCAAGGAGAGAGTGCACATTCCATTCCAGACACAGGAATTTTTTCATGCGTAGGTGCATACATAAGTGGATCTCTGTCTGCTTTGGACACCCTTCAGCATGGTGATGTGTTTCCGTATGTGTCAGACACACGGCAGATCAAATAAAAAGGAACATACATTCTTACAGCAAAGACCTTTTCCGCAGAATTAAATGAAATTTCAAGACAGATAAATTTGTAGAGTTATTAGTTTTCATATCTGCAAATGTCACTGTGACTGTGACATTTTGGTGAAAAGTCATTTTTTCTTATATTTCAATATGAATACTCGAGAAAAACAGTGCGTAATGTTAAATTAAACGAATTTAAGCAAAAGGAGTAAATATTGCAGCGTTTTCACACCACTAGCACATAAACAACAACAACAACAATAACTTGCATTTACATAGCTCCCTTCACGTGGGGTAGTCTTGGAACGATTAACAGTGGCGGAGCCTGACACCGAGTTGGGGGGAAGGGGTGTGTACAAGCAAGGTTAAAGAGAAATGTTTTCAGGCGTGACAATGGGGTAGAAGGAGGCAAGGACGAGGGAGACAGTTCCAAGGTTTTGGGGCGTAGTGGCTGAAAACCAGCCAAGCAGTGGTAGCAGGTGGTGGAATGGGGCAAGTTGGAAAGGTAAGGAGGTGCCAGGGCATGAAGGGATTTATAAACTAGTGTGAGGATCTTGAAGTCGATCTGCGACAAACAAGCTGTAAGACATTAGCAGACCTGGAGTCGCATCTGGAGGAGAAGTAGATTTGGGTGTCATCCACATACCTGTGGAAGTATATACCCTGTGTCTGTGGATGACATAATTGACACAGTATTCAATTGGCTGCTGCGTTTTGCCCACAGTATATATAGTCACTCCACTTTACTGGATATTCTGTGAGGCATTTTGAGATATCTCAAAGACGTGATAAGACACTATATCAAATGCAAGGATTATTATTTTATTGTTATGACATCACCCAGAGGAGCAGGTAAATAAGAAAGGGAAGAAAAAGAAGGGGACCCAGCCTTGGGGTACGCCGCTGGTGACCGGGTGGGAGCGTAGGAAAAAATGTCTGTGGAGATGAAGTTATAGCGGCTGGTTAAGCAGGACCCGAACCAGGCAAGTGTGGTCCCACTGAGGTGAATGAGGGAGGAGAGGTGGTTAAGGAGAATGGCATAAAAGACGGAATAAGACATTCTAAATCAGATAGTACTCAGGCACACCTTATTGTTTCTAGATCTGAACATGTTGTTTGGTGGTCTATGAAGTGTATATCACTAGAGAGAACTGTACCACTAGACATTGATGTATATTTGTCAGGGGAATTCAGCACCATCTGAATCACGGTTTGTGTAAAACATGTATCATGCTTATAAACATTGCTCCTGTTTGCCAGTGACGAGAAATCATGGTGACTGCACCCAATGCCAAACCCACTCACTGAATATCATCTATTGGTAACTTCTTAAGGTTGAGAGAAGATTGGAAATCTTCAAACAAAGTGACATGTGACAGTGCTGCAGAGACGAGTGCTGGAGAGATTGGCAATACAAAGAAACCTAGGAACGTGCATGACTGGAATACATCACTGAGGTCTATCTGGCTGGCAGTAGATCTGAAATTCTGGATTTTGTAAAGCTGGATTCAAACCCAAAGTTCTAATGTTCTCACCTGTATTGTATCCCCAAGGTACTGCTTCGGTTCTGACAAAGAGTCACGGTCAGAGTATTAACTCGTCTGCCTTTTTCAAAAGCTAATTTGTCTGCTGCAGTACTAAATGGTGTGTTCGAAATTTCTGACTCTTTGATCTAAAGTTTATGCTTTTTTCTAGTGTGATAAGTTAAAACTCACTTAATCTAATGTTCAACTTGAATTTTATATTGTGTTCTGTACATCAGAATTGCCAACCTTTTTAAATTACAAATGTCCTTGAGATGTACCCAAGAATTTCATTACTTTTTAGTAGCATCTTCACATTAACTAGATCAGACTTTGCAACTAATTTCATTGATTTCTAGAATCTTAAAGATATTCACAACTGAATTTCAAGAAGTGGAAGAAGGAATAAATAATAATAATCATAATAATTTATTATTATTATTTATTTATAATTGTTATTTTTTTTGGAAGGAATTATTACTCAGGGAAAAGCAATTTGCCAATCGACTGACAACCGGATTCCTAAGTAATGCTAGGTAAACAAAGGCGTGTGGAGTAAGGAAATTTACCCAACATTTCGCCCTGCCGCGAACCGAACCCAGATCTCTCACGTGCGAAACAAGTACTCTAACCACTGAGCTATAGGACTCCACACACCATGAAGTGATAGGATAGTTACTTTCAGTTAGTTGTTAGATGTGTATAAACTTTCATAATAAGGGAATCAATGAGTAAACATTTAGAATGGATTAATCGGGGACAGCACACTTACATTTTTAAAGGCAGCCATTTCCAACTAATAGACTGGGAAGTTTTTTGAGGAAATAACAGAATGTGTAGATAAAGGGAATGGACTCAACATTTATATGAAAGGATTGACAAGTTGCCACATAACCTTGCTGCAAAAATGAAGACACATGGCATTTAGGGGACTGGTAGTAGAGGGTAGAGATAAAGGGATGTTTTTCGGATTGACAATTGTCAGTAATATGTCCGCTCAGTTTCTATAAAGATTATTTATAAATGAACAATCTGGATTTTGATGTAAAAGAGCATGTCTAAGTTTGCTGATGATGATAATAAGTTAGTGAGCATGGCATAATTGGAGAAGAATGTGGAAGATTACAGGAGGTCATGGATAGTTAGCGGACTGGACAAATAAGAGGCAAATTAGTTCAAAAAACAAATGTGAATCAGTGTTTTTGGGAGAAAGAAAAACAAAAAAACTATCCTTATTGGTAACATTCTTAACAGAGTTGAGGAGCAGAGAGACGTTGGGGGTACAGATACGTAGGTGGGAGTGCAAATAGACAATTCTAATACAGAGGGGACAATGAACCATGAGCTAGCAGGTAATGTCATATTTATATGACACTGTTTAGTTCTGCAAGTGGAATACTGCATCCAATTTTGGCCACACATTATAGAAAGGATATACAGCAGATATTCACTAAATTGATATTGTAACCTGGATGAGATTATTAGATTACAAATTCCAATGTTGTGCCTTCAACCACCCTTCCTAGGAACCTATTCCTGTTAATTATCCTCTGAATAAAGAAGGTTGGGGCATTGCTAGCCTAACTGCATGACACCCGTTCGTGCCTCTCTTTAGGCTAACATTGAAGGGTTTGAAGAGTCAAACACTAAAATATATTTAGGATATTCAACTGTCCTAGTATATAGACATGGTTTAGTTTTCCTTGTAAGATACCGTCAATGAAACACAATAACAATGCATTTCACCACATAATCCAATTGTACAAAATCAAGCAATCCTTTTAAATCCTTTGCTTGCAATCTGTCACAACACCTGGCAGTGTAAGAAAATCCCCAGTAAAAGGGAATGATAATGCCTTCACACAGTGTATATCAGAGAATGACATGGGTTAGAGTGAGTTTCAAGGATATAGGACACCTCAAAATTAAGTTGTTGATGTTTAACGGTTTGGGTGATGCCTCGCAGTTTATGATGTCAACCCAACCTTTCCTCCCTGGAAACAACTCCAAACTACGTGTTATTCTGTCGTTAGTGTAGATTGTATCCCTCAGCAATGACACTACAAGTCATCAATACTCTTTTATGGGTGTCATAATGCATCAAGGACAGGGGACACTGACAGCTACAAGCAAAATACTAAGTATGGTTAGAAAATAACCGATATATGGAATTGAGTTCAAGGCTGCAGTCTATACATGGAAATTAAATGGCATATACAAACTACTTAACCTTCCTTCTCAAGGTTTATGGCATCATCAGAATGCATTCTATTAAAGTACAACCTTGTTACCCACTCCCAAAAATCCACTGTGCTTCGTTGAAGCTTCCTTTGTTGTTTTATAGATGACTTCTGTAGCAAGTCATAAGGAGCCCTATCACAAACTATGAACTTTGTATTCTGTCTTTTGTTTCAAAAGACTTGTTTAATTTGAGTGCCATTAATAATATTAAAAATAATGGTCCTAGCTGTGACTGAATGGTATAAATCTAATTGAAGATTTCAAATATCATCCTAAACCATTAGTGAGGCTCAAGCAGTTTATAACTGATACCATATCTCTGAGATTAAATTACTACTTTGGAATAATTCCAGGCAACATTCTGATCTGTTTCTAATTGTCACAATGATGTTACTGTTTGATTTGGCTCCAATTCTGTGTGGTCAGCTGTTAATGTGATTATAATGTGCAAAGGCATTGATGTTGTTATAAAATGAAAATCTGTGATCTTGGAAATCTGAATTAAAATCAGGATAAGTACAGCAGGTCACATCAACACCT